GACGATGACGACGGCGACGACGTTCTCGTCGATGATGACGTGGCGCGGCGATGACGATGACGATGACGATGATGACGTGACACGGCGACGAAGCATTGTGGGTCGGGCGGGTTCGAACCGCTCCGATACCAGTGTGACGCGCGTGAGGCTGAGGGAGAGCCGAGGGAGAGGAGAGAGAGAGGGAGAGAATGAGAGCACACACACACACACACTCACTCACTCGACACGACTGAGGGTCGGACGCAAACACAGTGGCAAGGCACAAAGTCGAAGTTTTGGATTTCGAATGCCTAAATCGCAAGTCACATTGAGTACGAGTACAGCAGTAGAAAACTGGTACGAGACTGGTCCCCGTACCGTACGGGGAGCCAGTACAAGTACCGGTGACACGTACGGTACCAGGGGCATTTCTGCAAAGGCCCTGAGGGCAGAACTGAAAAATGCGGTATTTGAAAGTGGCGCCCGAATTGCAGCATGGCGGCTTGTCCAAAATCCTATGGTACCAAAGGAGAGGTTTGGAAAAAAGGGTGCCAGGCCGAAAACGGGATGCAACCGAAACAACAAAAAGATAGACCAGGAATCGAGCCCTGGTGGAGTCCGTAACATTACCTGTGGAATCAGACTCGCTTTCTTCTTCACATACATGCAAACAGATGTCAATCCACGTTGAGGCTGTGCGCCCACACAAAGCTCAGAGATATTCAAGTGAAGAACACAGTTCGGATACAAACTCGCTTTCACTGGCTATGGGACCTCAGCGCTCACACATCCTCTGTCCAACAATGTATTCACACAACCGTTTGCATGCACTCGACTCTGGATCTCGCTGGATATCCCACACACACCAACTCAGTACAACACACACGCTGAACACTGCCTCTAAGCTACAGCAGCCATGGCTGTTCTACTACTATTGGCTATGGACGAACTATCTCCCTTCAGCCCACTTCAACCTCGGGCTTCTGTAGACCACCTCGCACAAGACGCGTGGACAGCTCTTCCGCATGGCTCACGCAGGAATGAATGAGTGGTTGGACGCTGCCTCTTGATTTATACTTCTCTAAGTCGCTGGTCTGCCCCTTTTCCACCAGGCCCATGGTGCACACAGTCCCTCACGGTACTTGCTGACTGTACAAAGTGAGACTGGACTGGGTACCGCTGACTAAGCGAAGTTGGACTCACCACTTGCCCACATGCCTCTGGTCTGCTGTGAACGGAAGTCTGTGGACTTGGCCTTTCGGAACTGTAGCAGCTATGACCTTGACCTTTCAGAATTGCTACAGCTATAGCCTTTACACAACTATGACCCCTAGTCGACAGATCTACAGATTGGACCCCTACAGCTACACAGACCTACGACAAGCAACAGTCAACTACTAGAACATAGATACAGATCACGGGTTCGAACACACAGGGGTTGACTCGATGGTGTACACGGGTGTGGCAAGGTCTAAGGATCAAGCCCTGGGATCTGCATCTGCTATTGCTAAGGTGAAAACCGTTTCACTCCCACCGGCCCAAATCCGAGGTCCTCCGAGAATACTTCAGTGCAAGGTAGGACCTTTACCTTTTTTGTCTCTTTCGTAGGCTCGGACTATATCGGGAGCGGTCTCTAGAAGTTGTGTTCGGGTAAACCAGCAGTCGTCTTCCGACTCTTGATAGGCAAATCGAACCTTGTATTGTTTCTGTGGACGACCTCTACCTCCTGTGCTAAACACATCTTGACCTACAATGTTGTCAATGTCGTACCTTCCATCCATGTCCGGAGGGATCATGGATCTCCGTGATGGAAACTGTTGACTTGTGGTACAGGGCAACAACTTTGACGCATGAAAAATTGKGTAGGTGTGGAGGTGTGCTGGAATCTCTATGGTGTAGGATGGTCCATCTTCTTCGCCCTTAACTTCTAGGACTGGCCACGGTCGTCTATACGCAGGCAATAGCTTCTGCGAGATGTTCTCCTCAGGAGCAAACTCTTTTGACTTAACGCAGTCTAAGTCGCCTACTTGGAACTGCGATGGGCGACGATGCTTATTGGCTTGCTCTATCATTCTATGTTGGGCCTTCCTGAGGTTCTCTACTAGAGTAGCAATCTCTTTTTCATGCTATATCGCAAACTCCCTAGTTCCGGGCGGTAACCTCTGAATCTGATCCCAGTTGTGTCCCTCAAACGGTCTAGGCGGTCTAAAGGACTTAACGCAATTCGTTGGGAGTGCGACAAGTGGCTAAATGCACGTTGTTATTATAGGCATTGGCTACCTTTGGGAGCATCTCATCCCAGCTAACTTGGTCGGGTCTAATGTACATTCTCATAACCTGCTGCATGACTTTGTTCATCTGCTCAGTCTGACCGTTGGTCTTTGGGTGACGGCCAGATGACATCAACAACTTAGAGCCATACACTCTCGTTGGTTCCTGCCAGTTCTGACTAGTGAATCGAGTATCTTTGTCGCTACTTATAGACAGGGGTAACTCATGTTCACTAACCCAATGATCAGAAAACTTTTGTATTACTAAATTTATGCGTGCCTCTGAGGGCAAAGGAGCGAAAACTGCATATTTGCTAAATCTATCGACTCTGACCATGACTTGGCTCTTGCCATGCCTACTCCTGACCCCAACATCCATGAAGTCAATGGATACAGAGTCTCCAGGCCCATCGGGAATAGGCAAGCGTATGCGAAGACCAAGAGGGGCTCGCATAGTGGTCTTATTTCGTTGGCACACCTTACAACTGCGTACATACTCTATGCAGTCAGCCTTCATGCCAGGCCAAGTATACGCGCGCTGAGTTTGGCTAACGTCTTTTGCCACCCAAAATGTCCCTCTGCATCATGGCATTCCCCCAAGATCAGACTTTGGATCTCTTCACTGTTGGAAACGGACAATCGATCCACTACATTAGTCTTCTCAAACAACAGCCCATCTGTAATGCGGTAGTCTGGCTCAGACTCTGGAGACTCCTTAACTCTCTTGAGGAGATCACTATAAATAGGGTCTTGAGCATAAGAGATCACTATAAATAGGGTCTTGTGCATAGGCTTCCTTAGCTTTCTGCTGCAGGTCTTGCCCTATATCCAAATAGTGAACTATCGCTCCAAAGTAATCAGCTCTCCTACTTAGAGTGTTTGCAACTACATTATACTTCCCTTTGACTCGCTTGAGCTCGAAGTCAAATTGGTCTATTTATGCGGCCCACCTAGTCAGCTTAGGTGTCATCTTGGCCTGAGTCTTCAGCCACCTCAACGTCTCATGGTCTGAATACACTTTGAAGTGCCTCCCAAGCAAGTAATGCTTCCAATGGTCTAGTGCTTGCCTGAGAGCGTAGAGTTCCCTCTCATAGGTAGATGTCCCTACCTTCTCTGAAGGCATCCTGGCATACATGTACTCTACGGGTCTATACCCATTGCCATTATCTTCTTGTAAAACAGCACCTATACCGTACTGACTTGCGTCAATGGTGACATCAAAAGGTAATGATGGGTCGGCTACCTTGAGGACTGGATACTCTATCAAGGCCCGCTTCAGCTTCTTCAGGGCCAACGTACAATTTTATCCCATTTCCAGATCGTTTCTTTCTTTAGCAACCTGTGAATGGGGGCAGCGATGATAGAAAAATTCCTGACGAACTTTCTGTAGTAATTGGCCAATCATAAGAACGACCGCAACTCTGTCAATGTGCGGGGAGTTGGTCAGTCTCTAATCGCTGCTATTTTATTGTTCTCAGGTTTTATGCCATCACCATCTAGCACGTGGCCCAAGTACAGGACTTGCGTCTTGGCCCACTTGCACTTCTTCGCATTGATCTTGAAGTTAGCTTCTCTCAGCTTCTTCAAGACTTGCCTCAGATGACCCTCATGCTCCTGGAGGGTCTTACTAAGGACTAGGATGTCATTCAAGTACACTACCACGAATCTATCTGACCATGGCCTAAACAAATCATTCATACAGCGCTGGAATGTCGTTGGCGCATTGGTTAGTCCAAAGGGAACAACTATAAACTCGTAGTGCCCGTTTCTCGTTCGGAATGTCGTCTTATACTGGTCATTAGGATGGACTTCTATCTGACGATAACCAGATTTCAGGTCTATCTTAGAAAAATACTTGCAGCCCTGCACCCGATCTAAGAGATCATCTATACGGGGCAATAGTTCTGCATTCTTTACTGTGATGGCCTTAAGACCCCTTAACTCTCCCTCCTTCTTGGGGACAAACAGAACAGGTCCTCCGAAAGGAGACGAATTGGGCCTAATCCAACCCTTTTCGAGAAGCTCGTCTAACTGCTTGCACAACTCCTCTAACTCCCTTGGGGACATTCGATACACTGCTCCTTTCAGAGTTCTACTGCCAGGCTCTATCTCAATGAAATGTTGGATCGGCCACTGCACTACTCCTGTCGGCGGCTTAGCCAAATCTGTATATTCTTCTAGCAACTTGACAATAATTGGATCAATAGGTTTCTCTTCCTTAGGCTCGGTGACAGGCCTAACAAAGGCTACGAAAACTTGTTCTTCTAGTTGCTCCTTTCTCACAAGTCGCACAAATGCAGGAGCACTGAGGCAGCAATGTGCTAAGTTGTTGTCTACCACAGACACATGAAACAGGCGGCAATGTGCTAAGTTGTTGTCTACCACATATAACTACGAGTGGCCCCACTGTCTATCAAGGCCCCTACTCGTCCTCTGAAAACCTCTACATCTACTAAAACTAGTTTTCCTTTCGCATCTTTCTTCATTTTGGCCTAGGCAGGCATTCTCTCCTTCAATTTTTGTGCCACGCCTGCGAGGGAGGTGCCTAGAGAGACCCTAACGCAACCACTCTTTGGACAACTATCTAGGCACTGACCAGCAACCTCTGCCATAGACACATGTGGGTTGGGAGTTTCTCTATGATGCGCGCACTCTTCTCCACATGGCCTAGGGGTAAGAGCCGCTGCAACTCCTACCGGCGGTTGCCTTTTGCTGCCTTTGCAGCATGTCGGGCTTCTCTATATTTGGGGCAGTATTTTATGATATGCCCCGGATCACTGCACTAGACGAACTGATCCTGGTCTACTCGCCTCTGCCACACTGTCTGATCCAAGCCCAGATCTTCCCAGGGTCTGCCCTATGGTAGAGTAGGGTGCCATTCACCCCTCCTGGGAGGTGATCGATTGGAACGTGGACGGTTTCGCGGGGCACCTTGACCGCTACCTTCCTCTTGGCGGTTTCCTCTATGGCAAACCCCCAGAGCGCCCTATCCTCGACCACCAGAGGCTCGATGTCGCACTTTTTCTAGTCAGGCCACTTCAGGCGACCAGAAAGCCAACAGGCTGTCATGCAGGATTTGGATGATCTTTGCAATAAATAAATAAATTAAATAAAGCAAATCCCTTCCTGTTGTGTGCGTCCGGCTTCGAGCGAGACCCTTCAATTGCGGTCTTCGCTGGTCCCCGATCTTAGGAATCTTTTATTTTGATTCGGAACAGCAAGAATAATGCGAATATTAATCATAAAATTCTGGTATGTCGTGCATGCATCAATTTTGCCAATTTTCTGATATTGAGAACTGTGATGAGATCATCAAGAAGCATAATCATCAAGCAGAGTAAAGCAGATGAAGCAGGACTGACTGACTCGAGCGATGGCAAGGATAAGTGAGGGAAGAATGAGAACTCATAATAATCTCAGAGAGTACACATAAGGAGCATGGCCAGCACTAGCCAAGAGTCCTCACTCATCCCTCTGGGTCATACACTCAATCTCTCATTTTGTTGTGCATTTCGTGTCTTGAACCACGCCCCTGTACCTCCTGAGATTGTGGCCTCTGAATATAGAGTCACCTGAGCCCGCAAGTTCAGAGCATTTCCAACCAAGTCCCATGATTCGGAAGTCGACCATAACACAAAACTCTTCCCATAGTGTAGGGAGATATAGTTGGGAGAAGATCCCTCGTCTGAGATGTTGAAACTTTGATGGTTCAGTCACCGCCTCATAATCAATTGTTGTGGGAGAGATGTACCTCTTAGCCAAATCCACCAGTGCACCCCAGTAAGAACCATCTGCGAGAGTGAAAGGTACTGGAGGCTTGGGATAGTCAGTGTAGAGCTTGGGTCCGAAGCTGCGGCTCAGCGTTATCACACTCTGATCAAACTCTCTCTCTCTCACCTCAAGGTACCTTGCTGCTGAAGTCCAGACTAAGTCGACGTGCTCATGGGTTTCTTTACCCTTCTTCAAGTAGACCCTCACGTCATGAATGGTTCCTCCCGCAAACTCGGTGTGGACCACAGGTTGTCAAATCTCCCTGCCTGAAACTGACTGCACTGACGTATCGGTATTGGAAAGCATCCTTGAGTGCAATCCTGTTGAGACTTGTCAACACTGACTCATTGACTGGGGAAGACTGAATTAAACTCATGTGCGGAGACGGATGTTGAAAATGATCTCTGCGTCTTTCGGTAATGACTGATTGTTGGTTGATAATGACTAGAAGCTTCGAATAACTCGTTCGATTGAATGTTGATTGAATATTGGTCGGATGCTGATTAAACGTTGATTGCTGGCTGATTAGAAGCTGGTTGAGTAACTAGTCATCGAGTTCTGATTACTTGACATCAAAATGCTGAGAAAACTGCAAATTATTGAGAGACACTTGCTAGCTAGAGTGTTGGTGGAATTTTCGGAAGAAGAATCTAGGTTCCCTTGTGCTCACCTGAGCTTTGCCCTGGCCTGCTCCACCGTTTCTAGAAACGAGTCGGTGCTATGTAGATTATCGTCGTGGCCATAAAAGTAGAGCACATATTCGATAGACTTTTTCCCTTTGGCTATCCCAACCGCAAGTTCCCTCTGAGCCTGCATGTGAGAGTCCATGTCCTGACAAGCCTCATACTCCCAACCCTCTTTCTTATCTCTGCTTGATCTGTTTTTCATCACAAGGACTTCATCCTCTCTCATGATTTCTCCCTCGTCTCAAGATTCAGGTTTTGAATAGGGTAAACTACAGACAGTCTTAAGTGAGCTCAACACTCAAAGAGGTAATAGTTCTCAAGTCCAAGTATCCCACTTGGCTTAGTTGTTGAAGATTTCAGTGAAGTGTGACCCGTCATCTATCTGCCACCATTGATCAGCAGTAAGCCTTTTCTCTATGTTGAAACCAACAAGGGATACTCGGGTCATTCCACCGATGATTTTCCTGACAACTGCGACGGAAACTGTCTGGCGTCGTGGCACACAGACCCAAACAAGTTACTAGTTACAAACCTGGTTCAACTCGTGCGCCGTGAATGTAGACTGGACGGCCTACAAGATACAACTCCCCGAAAACTACCCGGATAGCTTGTAGGAAGTCTGTCAGTTCTTTCTACTAAGGCTGCTAGTAAGCCTGCTATGGGTTGACTAAACTGTTTTCCCCAAATTTGATTATCTGTCCAAGCACTTCATCAGCTTTTGTGGCACTGCAACGGTAGGAATGCCTTTTGCTCAGTGCAGTGGCTTGAGGCACAGACAATCTGAACGTACTATGTTCAAGAGGAGGTTAATATGGGAGTCCCTCTATTCTTTGCGTCGTCCACTCGACACTACAGGCCCGGAACACAGACAGTCTCACACAGGGAAAAGTCACTTTGAGCATGAAGTACGACCAGGCTTGGCTTGACTGAATTCGAGTAAAAAGGAACACGCTCTCACTCAATGTCGCTATTTAAGCACAATTCTTCTCAGTGCTCGAGCACCTGACCTGGACTCTGAAAGCTACTGATCCATGCAAGAGGGTTTCGCGTCTACTGAACTGTATAATGAATATTCGTATAATTTTGTCTCCAGAAGTTTGGGCCCACTTACATAATAGACAGGGAATAATCAAAAGGATGTATTCTGTTTTGAACAACAAAGTACTTCTACAGATGCTACAGAGTTAATAGAATTGTGAAGCTTCTTCTGTTCAATGACATGTACTCACGGTCCACTTCAGGTTGTGTGACAAATCCACAACACTTAATACAAAACATCTCCAGTCGTGAGGCTCTCCAGTATCAGGGGGAAAATACCGAGGTATGCTGGAAGTTGCCTCTTAACTACAGACTCCGTTCACAAAGTAGCAATGTGTCACCGTTTCTGCCTGATTAGCCAGCTTCCAGCTAACGCTTGGAGCATTAATTATCACCATCATTAATCCCCATCAAATAAAAATTTAACAATTAAATATAGTATTTTCCTTAGTTGTCGTTCTCTCCCTTTGCGATTCATTACTCAGTCTCAGCTCTCAAGAGAAGCATTTTGGTTACTCGGAGTTGAGTGTATGACTGATAACCAAGTCAACTGACCATGCACCCATAGGTTTATGTAAAGATTTATAAACTCACATCGTTGAGTTAGTGCTTGTGTCCAAGACCATTCACGAGCTTACAGGGCAGCATGATTGCACACTTTCGTACAATCATCTCACCTATAGGCTCGCACGGTCTCGAGAGCCTGTGAAGTTATACGGTCATCTGCTCATACGGTCACCACACCAATAGACTTGTACGGCCGCAAGCTCGTACGATCGCTCTAGTATCTATAGGCCCATACAATTGCACGCGCTTACGATTGTACGGGTGCTCGCGAGTTCGTGTTGTCTTAAATTTGAATGACTACACGCTTACCCATCACTAGTGTTACAAGCCCTTCAAAATAGTAAATTAGACTTTCAGACCGTGTCATTGACTCTCGCCCTTTTCAGCCGAGTTAGTACATACAGCTTAATTGAACCGCATAGACAACCAGGAAAGATCACACAATCGAGACTCGGCCTGCCTCTTTTCTTAACCCTGCGTCATTATTTTCTCCACTTTGCTACTAGCAACTACCCATTAAACGGCGTCCCCTGTGTAGCAGAGGCTTATGTCCAATAGTGATGTGATCAAGCGTTGAGGGGCAATCCAACAATTCATTAAAATTTTCTTGGAAAGCCAAGGAATGTTAATCGTGAGAGGTCAGCATGCAAGGAGGCTCTCTCGAGTTCACGGTGACGATATCTGATCACAAAATTCGGTGTTTGCGGAGTCCGTTCTTGGCAGGCCACACCCAATCAACCCGTAGCACATCCCCTATAAGTTCTCTCATTTGACCTCAGTTCGTTGTGGAATCACACATATGGGTAACGGGGGAAACGGTGGCCTTACATGACATAGACAACAATGAGCCAATGCGCAGTCAACCGAAAGGATAACTAACGAACAAACCTTATTTACAAATAACATCATCAGTAAAGGGGTGAAACAGAAGTACCGTTCACACGTTTCTTGCGAAGTTCATACCCAAGATTATGTATAAACATCTCTAGTAACTCTGCGAATACGCACTTATTCACTAATGATCATGCCCTTTTTCTCAGGCCATTCAAAGCCCTTTGCAGTCGAGTTGAGCTCATTAACGAGATAATGGCGTCAGTTGCTGATCACTAGTATGTCTGGCCACTCCTCTGCAACGAGTTACGACTCCGCTTTTATGCATGTTCGCGAAGACGGAAGGTACATCCCTCTTCACGTGTGCAGTAGCCGGAGAGAGCACTGAGGACAGCGTGGTAGGTCCTCCTCACATCGCTTATACTTCGCACACATCTTCACTCTCGTTTCATCACCGAGATGAAAACAATGACGTTGGGCAACCCGGATCAAAAGAGGACATAGTACACACCAGCATCAAGGATCGTACCCAGAGTCTGTCTCTCTCCTCATGGACATTGAAGGTTGACGCCAGCAGCAGTCCCAAAGCTCACTTATCTCTTCCTCTCATTGGGTACATGTCTAACTCGCTCGTAGTCCCCCTCGTACACACCGTGCTGCCCGAGTGTACACACCTCACTGCCGCTAATCAGCTTGTACCCGTCTCTTTGGGTTCCTCAATCAGATCATCTCACGTGGGGCTCGCTTTGAACTGTTGACGTCAATAATAGTTCCACGAGAGTGCGTGCTCTCTGCAACACACACTAATCTCATTTTCAGGGAAAACTCCTCTTCCCTTTCTTCCTTCGTCTTCTGCATGGATGAAAATCTCCCACGATTATGAACACGAGAGGTCAATGACCGCCGACACTCGACACGTACTTCAGGTAAGCTACGGATGGCCACGACTGGCTGGTGATGTCAACTAGTAAGGAGAGAAGCCATGTTCTCTCTCCCTCTAGTAACTGTCCGCTCCCTCGAGCTAATCTTTCCCCATTCTCGTACTTGCCATGATCAGTATGGCATTACGCCTATCACGCCTTTGTCGTGAGTTGGCCTCTGGGTTGTCTTCCTCATGCACACCATTTCCCTTCAGCACTGATCTTGCATCGCTCAAACGTTTCGCTCGCGCAATGGCTAGCCTCTGTCATGCTAGCCACGCACTGACATACGGAGTGGGCACGCCAAGCCCTTCTCTTGCCTGCTCATCTGAAAGGCCGTGACGAAGGCACTGGACTACGCGATGAGAACTTGTTCCGGTTGCTGCACCCAGACATGCCAGGACGGAACAAGGTAAGCTACAGACGACCACGACCAGCAGCTGACATCAACAAGTGGCGTGTTCGCCGCCTGAGTGTGTCGCCTGCATTTGCATACCCCTAAGTGAGCTGCAGGTGTCCCAACTAGCAGATGACCTCAACAAAAATTCTCAGGGACGACCTCTTTCTCTCTCTTCGTGTCTGACTCTCACTCGCGCCCTCTCTCTCGCCTCTCTCCCTCGATTGTTTCTGCCCGCTCTCTCAACTGCCCCTCACCCCTGGTCTCGTCGTCGCGAGTTGGCCTCCAGGCCGCTCTCCACGTGCTCGGTCGGCGAGTGGTTCTTCTGCCACTGATCCAACCCGTGCCAGGACTGGGTCTTGACTTCCTGGTCACTCTCCTCACTCTCTGCTTCTGTGTCGCGGTCAAGGTGCCACTGCTCCCTCTCTGCCGTATCTGTTGAAGTCCCTGCCTCCAGGTACGAGACGGTCACCTTGATTTCGTATGTGACCCCGTCTCGTCTACACCTCCTCTCGGCTCTGTCCTTGGCTTCTATGATAGCCAACTGCAGGCCCTGATCCGCTCTCATCTCCTCTTCCTTCCCCCCTTCAATGTTTATCTTTAGCCTTGCCTCCCGATTGCAATGGCTATAGTCCAAGATGGCGGTCACCATCAGCCCCTCTCCTGACATCCGCTCCCACCTCCAGAGGAACTGGAGGTATCTTGGTCTATAGCCATACAGCCCGTTGCTGCGCACCATGGTCGAGCCCCCCCCCTAGACGAGCAGTGTAAGCCACCAGGCCACAAAGTTCCGAGATAGCTAGGGCCGAACACTCAGAGCGTGAGCATGTGCTCACAAATGGTCTCCCGCACATTCCGCTCCCACCTCCAGAGGAACTGGAGGTATCTTGGCAGAATACAGCCTGTTGCTGCGCACCATGGTCGAGCCCCCCCCCCCTGGACGAGCAGCGTAAGCCACTAGGCCACAAAGTTCCAAGATAGCTAGGGCCGAGCACTCAGAGCGTGAGCATGCGCTCACAAATGGTCTCCCGCACATTCACCACGCCGCCTAGTCCTCTCCTCGCTTCGCCAATACTCGGTGCAGCGAGGTTGCTCATGCTCAAGCAATGAAATGCCAGTCCCCTCCCTTTTCTCTTTTATAGGATCGTCGCATATTGGAACCCCTGTGTTCTAAACGAGGAACTCAAACAATTTTTAAAATTCTACACTTTGATAATTTGTAATTCAGAATTTAATAAAATAAAACAAAACGGAACAGAGTGAAAAAGAAAAAAAGAAAGAGGAGGATGGCCAGGACACTAACAGTCACTGCGCGAACACAACTCCTCAGTCCGCATCTATCTGTCTTTTCAACTTTGCTTGAAAAGACAGACAGTCCAGCACTCAGCGGTCCCATAACGGGATACCGCCCGTCACTCCACTTTCTTCATAGGGAGCTTACAGGCTACCACTAATGGGTACCCGTCTCCGAAGGCAAGGTGGGGGCTTATGACCTTCCGCGTAAGGTGATAAGCCTCCTACCAATGCGGCTGTGGGTTACCCCTCTTTTGGGGTCGGGGCGCTTGGCAGATCACTTCTGCCGCACAATAGGGCACGAGAGGTTAATTGGCCTCGGCCGCCAGTTCGCTATCATGGTTCATAAACGACCGTTGGTCCCCAGAATGACAGAAAGGGAAAATTACATAGGGAAAATAGGTAATAATAATAATTATAATAGCTAAAGAAAATACGGGTGAGAAAGAAGAAGACATAGCGGCATTGCCATTTAGGACCACTAGTTAGCCCCAGATAAAAACGGCTAATTAAATCGGGGTGCAGATCCGACAAGCGACCCCCCCCCCCCCCCCCCCCCCCCCCCCCTTTTTTTTTTTTTTTTTTTTTTTCTCTTTTGTTTTTTTGTTTCTTTTTCTTACTCTGATCATGACCGCCCTCTACACTCATCCCATAACTCGACCAGAGAGAACTCGACACATAGTAGAAAGACTGTGCCGGTCCTACTTCCTCCGCGTCCCTGGGCGAGCCCGACGGCTACCACGGCCACAGGCCGCTTGTGCTCTGCTGTACAGCAGGGCGCCGAGTTTGCGTGGACCAATGGAAAGCCCAGCGGCGCACCCCCCCCCTTTTGCCAGTGGGTGCATCGACCGGACCATCCCCGCACCACGACCCGAAAGTCGCCGAGTTCTTTCGATGATCCCCAGCAAAAGTACGTAAATAAACGCTTGGTACGCTGTGAAGGTCCGTGGACTGGGAGCAGGCTTGTCAGGAGATTCGAGCAAGGAGCCAGCACACAGTAGGGCTTATGAGCAGGCATCTGGCACGCAGCGGAGGGTCGAGACACCGCGCCCTGCGACACCGGCCCCCTTGGCCTCGACCTCCTCCTCTTCCTAGCGGCCTCCCTCCAGCCGAGACAGCAGCATAAGTCCTCCCCCGACTCACACTACTGTCCTCCTCCTCGAGGCCCCACTCAATCTGACTGTAGGGGACCTCTTCCATACCACCTTCGTCTAAGGTAAGGATCAAATGATCCTTGGCCCTGACTTGGCCAGAGATGGTACGACCCTTCCACTTTTTGTTCTTGTCAAGGTCCTTATGCAAGAAAGTGAAACTGACATGGACTGCGCTTCGAAAGCTACCACTTCCCTACTCAGGGTATCATAGGTCATGGAAGGTTGTCTGCTCTTTTCGAAAAAGTGCCCGCGCAGAGGTTCGGGGATGACATAATAAAACAAGTTGACCAGTTGGGTCTCAGTGACTCTGTGGTCTTGGACGGCGACCAACTCATCCATAACACCTTTGAGTACCCTTGGACTCCTCCACTGGTGAGAGTGGATGGTGTGCAGTTTGTGAGAGGCCCTTACACTTCGTGTGACATCTGCAAACCGTTCACGAAGCAACCTGAAAAAAATCAGGAAGGGGTATGATTTTGGGGTAAGCTACCATATTATTCTCACATTGCGCGGCGCGGGCGAGCGATCTGGCGAAGCTAGCCGCTTCGTCTTTAAGGGCATGGGAGGCGATGAGGACTTGTTCCTTAGCGAAGATCTTCTGCAGGTGAACGTATGAGTTAACGTTCGCCTCCCAGTTGTCAAAATTCTCTTCCTTCTTCCCACAGTAGGAATCAGGAAACTTTACTTAAACCGGTTCTCGACGGGGGCGAGCTTGCTCCTTCTTTGGAGCAGCAAGCTTTGCGCCTTCTATGGCCCGGTGCAGAATCATTCAGTGTTCTCTATTCTGGCCTTCACCTCCGTGCCCACATGCATCATCATTTCGCGCGCAAATTCTCTAATACTCAGGCGTATGGATTGCAACGCAATGTCTTGGCCCCTGACTAACTGATAGTGCTATTGCTGGGCCTTCGCCAACAGTTCTATATTCCTAGCCATAATCTCCATCTTACCTAGCACATCCGCCTGGCTTTCCATTTGTTGTCTTTGCTCCTCCACCACTTCCAATTCCTTCGCGACCTTATTTGCTGCATCCAATCGTTGCCTCTTTTCTCTTGCGAGGCGCAACTTCCACTCCAACTTCTTCTCCTCCTCTATGGTCTGGCGGCGTAAGGGGTCTTGCTCGTCCTCTAACTCTTTCACCACCGCCTCTTGTTCTGCCTTGGGGACATATAGCATTGCTTCCTCCTCCTCTCCCAGCGACAGGTTTGCAACCCACTCTGTAATCTTCTTCTCCATCCACTGATCATCTTGTTTCGTGCCACTTGATTCTCCCCTTTCCGTTCTGGTCCTTTTGTCCAAGGGGACTTCCTCCTCCACTTCCACTTCCTCTTCTTCTACTGCCTTCAACTTCTCCTCCTTTTCTTTTTTCAACTTCTCCATCTCCTCCAATTTCTTCTTCTTTGTCGCCTGCTCCTCCATCAAGGCCAACTTCTTGGCCTGCTTGATCAACTCCATCTTAGCCCCTTTTCCTTTTCTCTCTTTTAGGACGGCGGCGGCTTGCTCTTCCTGAGCCTCAGTATACGGGGTGGTGCTCTTACCGCTACACAGGTCCACCATGGTGTCCGGTGTACAACCAAGTGACAATTCCACTCCTCACCACTTAGACTTCCACCCCCTGACTGACTTAACTGACCGACTGACTCTCTAAGGACCACAAAGCCTTACCCTTCGATCCAGCCAGGTTACCATGGCTGGCGGAAGCTTTCGCCACCACTGTCCTTTACAATCCAAACCCAGATGCCCTGCACCTGCGGTCAATCCCACCTGGCTTTCACTCCGGTTCAGGACCCTGTCAACTAGGGTTTCTAGCCTAGACCTATTACTGAGCTGTCGCTGCAGGACTTCAGCGCTGATCAGGAGGCATTTAAGGAATTGTTTAACGTCGCAAACAGGACGACGAGATCAGCAAATCCTCTCAACACTTACACAGCTGGTTGTGCAGCCCACAACTCCGATTTTGGGCCTACCATGCCACACTGAGCAGCCCGCCGGTCTGTACCGGTCCTTGGGAGGGTTTGTCCTCCGGGTCAGTCAGTCGTCAGACACGGCCTTTGGCCCTACTCAGCCCATGTGGGTTTGGTCAACGCAGCTCTACGACCTCATGCACGAAGTTCCTATCACCTAGAGAGAAGAGACTCAATGCAGAAAGAAGAGACAAACAGACTCAGCAAGTACCATGGGGTCAGTGCACATCCATAGGGCGAGGGGATAGGCTGAAGGCTTGGCGAGAGTATAACATCTCCAACTTGGTCAACTTCATGGTCAACAGCTCCGGTCAACGCCCTGGTCAACACCTTGCTCAACGCTGGTCAATGTCCCGATCAACGTTGGTAAACTCCCGGTCAACGTTGGTTAACACTCCGGTCAACGTTGGTAAACTCCCCGGTCAACGTTGGTAAACTCCCCGGTCAACGTTGGTAAACTCCGGGTCAACGCTGACAACTGCCTAGGTCAACGCTAGGTATGGCTGCCAACCCTCTCTCTCTCACCTTCTTTCACCTTCCTCCTTCCTCCTTCTTCACCCTCGGCTATGGCTTCTCTCTCCTCCCTCGTCTCTTTCTTCTTCACCCCCTTCTTCGTCTCTCCTTCCTTTCTCTTCTTCGGCTATGGCGTCTCTCTCCTTTGTCTCTCCCTCCTCCTTCACCAGGTGTTCTTTCTCCTTCGTTTACTCCGTGTCCGAGCTCAGCGGCTATAGCCGCAACTTCCTTCCTTGGACCGCACAACCAATCTTGTATCGCTCCTCTCTCTCTCTCTCTCTCTCTCTCTCTCTCTCTCTCTCTCTCTCTCTCTCTCTCTCTCTCTTTGTATATATATATATATATATATATCCCCTTCGTCATTATCTTCTTTGCAGGTACGCAGCACCTTCCTTCAACGGTGCGGCTATGGCGGACCCTTCTTCTTCAACGGCGTACTTCTGCTATGGCGCGTGAAATAACGGGAACCTGCTCCGATACCAATGGAATCAGACTCGCTTTCTTCTTCACATACATGCAAACAGATGTCAATCGACGCTGGCGCTGTGCGCCCACACGAAACTCATAGATATTCAAGTCGAGAACACAGTTTGGATACAAACTCGCTCCCACTGGCTATGGCGCCTGAGCGCTCACACATCCTATGTCCAACACTGTATTCACACAACCGTTTGCATGCACTCGACTCTGGATCTCCCTGGATATCCCACACACTCCAACTCAGTACAACACACACACACACACACGCTGAATTTTGCCTCTAAGCTACAGCGGCTATGGCCGCTCTACTACTGGCTATGGGCGAACTATCTCCCTTCAGCCCACTTCAACCTCGGGCTTCTGCAGACCACCTCACACAAGATGCCTGGACAGCGCTTCCGTATGGCTCACGCAGGAATGAATGAATGGCTGGACGCTGCCTCTTGATTTATACTTCTGTAAGTCGCTGGTTTGCCCCTTTTCCACCGGGCCCATGGTGCACACAGTCCCTCATGGTACTTGCTGACTGTACAAAGTGAGACTGGGACTGGGTACCGCTGACTAAGCGAAGTTGGACTCACCACTTGCCCACTTGCCTCTGGTCTGCTGTGAATAACGTGAGAAAAACTTGAAAGGCCACTTCCAGACCTTTCGGAAGTCTGTGGACTTGGCCTTTCGGAACTGTAGCAGCATGGCTACGATCTCGCGGGCCCCTTTTTCTTTCAGTAACTGTCTGGGGCCCCTGCTGCTTTGAGGCCGAATCTGAATTTGAGGCCCCACGTAGGGGCCTGGAGCCATGCCAAGGGGCTCGGATCCTCAGACTCCCTCCTCCATTGCTTTCATAGTCCTCGAGGAACCTGTTAGTGCACTTGGGCTTTCCCCTTGATTCTTCTCTTGTACTAAGACACAATCTGAGGCACTGTCTTCATCAGCGCCTGCTTGGTGAACCACCGATCTTCCTTTGGATGAGGGCAGCATAGATCGTCGTGATGGGAACAGATCAGACTCACAGAAACGTGCAAATTTGGATGCATGGAATACGGGGTAGGTGTGTCGGTGACCAGGTACACGAATGATGTAAGAGGGACCATCTGGATCATTCCCCACTATGTCTAAGACCTCCCAAGGCCTACAGTACCGAGGCACTAGCTTTCTAGAGATGCCTGCCTCCAGTCCGAACTCATACGACTTCACCCAAACCCTTTACCCAACCTGAAACATGGACTGTCGACAATGCTTGTTCTCAGATGCAATCATTGCATCTTGAGATTTCTGTATGTGCTCTCGACAGCCTGCTGCAGCAGTTTGTCATACTGGACAGCAAACTCTATGCTATTAGGCGCTGCAGTGGGTCTGTTTTTAGGTAGGAGGAAATCCAAAGCAGGCCTAGGCTTCCAACCAAGATGCAACTGGTTCGGAGACATACCGGTGGTGCTGCGTACAGCATTGTCATACAGACTGGCGATGAAAGATAACTTCTCATCCCAGTCATCTTGGCTCGGCTTGATGTAATTTTTGAGCAAATCTTGCACCACGAGGTTCATCTGCTCCGCCTGGCCATTGGCGTCAGGATGAATGCCCGTTGTCATTTGCAGTTGGGAACCCATCTGCTCAGCTGCTTTCTTCCACAATTCAATCGTGAAACGAACATCTACGTCACTTACTATGGACTTGGGCAATCCAAAGTCACTCGCCCAGTTATCCACGAAGAGTTTATCACATGGTCAGTCTTTGCAATCTCAGACATAGTGACTAACCTTGCATGCGTCAAAAAACGATCCACTATTATGAAAACGGGTCTCTTGGTGCTCACGAAGGTGACCAATGAAGTCCATCGACAAACTCCGTCCACGACGAGCCAGAATGGACAAGGGCTTGACAAGCCCTAGAGGTGCTTGTGTCCTTGGTTTATCGCGCTCACAAACCTAACATGTTTCAACATAACCTTTGGAGTCCTCTAGCATAGTGGGCCATCAAAATCTTTCCACATGGTTTTCTGAAGTCTTCAGTGATTGGTAGCATCACGACACTCACCTAAAAACAAACTACGCAAAGACTCTCTACTTGGTACACAAAGTCATTAATTCCCAGCCTTCTCAACAAACAGCAAGTTGTCCATCACCACAAACTCATCAGTAATGGCTTTCTCGTTGGCCTCGAGGTTGCGCATGATGTCCAACATCAGTGCATCTTTCTTGTAGGCATCCACCAATGATTCCGTCAGATCATTAGACAGCCCAAACTCCTGATCAGTGAGCCCAAGTAGTTTGCCTTACGTGATAGAGCATCCACAACCTTGTTGAATTCGCCCATCAGGTGCCCTAGGCAGAAGTCATGCTGATCAATGACTCCAATTCACCACTTAAGAGCATCTGAAAGTGGGGGCTGCGTCTTGATGCATCGGAGGGCCTCATGGTCAGATCTCACAACAAGAAAATATGCCCAAGAGGTAATGCCGCCAATGTGTCAAGCATTATAGAGGGCGTAGAGCTCACACTCATACATGGACTTGGCTAACTTTTGGGAGGGCATCTGTGTGCTCATGTACTCAATCGGCCTTAACTTCTTTCCTTCCTACTGTTGGGGAATGGTGCCAATGCCATATTGGCTGGCATCGGTCGTCACAATTGAAGGCTTCTCAGATCTGGAAGCTTGAGGACCTTGTGATCCATAAGAGCATACTTCGATCACCTGAAGACTCTCTCACAATCATCTGTCCACTCCCACGGGGCATCAAGGTGTGTGAGATCAGTCAAAGGGGTTGACACAGTACAATAATTCTTAACAAACGGGCGGTAATAACCTGTCATCCCAACAAAGAACTCACCTTACTCACAGACTGAGGTTGTGGCCAATCCCTAATACTAGCCACCGTCGCATCTTCTGGCCTCAGACCATCCACAGAGATTTCATGACCCAGATACAAGACCTTAGTGCGACCAAACTCGCATTTCTCGAAATTATCTTGTACTAGTGCTTATGAAGGAGACCAAGCACAATGTCAACCTGCAGCGCGTGCTCCTCGACAGTCCTACTAAAGATAAGAACACACACGTGAAACGGTTTTCACCTTTTTGTAGTGGCGGATGCAGTACCCAGGGTTCGATCCCTAGACCTCACCCTACCCATGTACAGTATCTGTGTAGACCCCGAGAATCGAACCTGTGACCTGTGCATTCGTAGGTAGTTGGTAGGCCTGTCGTAGGTCCATAGGCAGCAGGGGTTCGATCTGTAGGTCTATAGCATAGAAGAGTCTTAGTGAGTTCCAGAAGCTGAGCTGTAGTCCTTCTAGAAGGTAGGCAAGTGGGCAAGTGGCCAAGTGGAGAGGCAAGTGGTGGACTAAACCGCAGTGCAACAGCAGTACAACGTCGGTAGGATAGCGG